GCTGCCCTCCACCCTCCTCGGCGCCGACCCGCGCCCGGGCCTGCGAGCGACGCGGACGGGCTCAGCCGGCGCGGCGCGGGCCCGGCCCGAAGCGGGGCGGCGGCTGGAGCGCTGCCTGTCCCGGCTCCTGTTCTGGGCCAGCCTGGGGCTGCTGCTCGTCTTCCTGGGCATCCTCTGGGTGAAGATGGGCAAGCCCTCGGCGCCGCAGGAGGCGGAGGACAACAGTACGTCCCGGGCCGGCGCAGGGGAGGGCCCCGGGCGCGCGAGTGTCCACCTGCACCACCACCGTTCCTCTCAGCGCCAGGCTGCACATTCCCGGGCCTTAGATGCCTCTGGCTGTCTTCTTACCTCCAGACCTTGATTCTCCTCCCTCCAGCGGTGGGAGAAGAGGGCCGGAGTTCCTGCATCTGCAATAATTTCTGTCTTCACTCTCTCCTGTTCTCATTTTCTGCCCTAGCCCTTCCTACCAATCTCCCTTTCAACCACGTGCTGGAAGCAGTCTTCATTCGTAGTCACTCCTTCCCCAACCTCTGGTTTTCCCTCTCTAGAGAGAACCACACCCCTCTCTAACAGACAGGTCCACCCCCATTCCTTTTTAGTTCTTTCTTAACTTGGATCTCTTGCTCATTCACACATTAGTGCCCATTCCAAGGCACCCCAGGTTTCACTGCCCACAGATCGGATCTGGTTGGGTTCCCAGCTTTGCAGCACCAAAAGACTTTAAACTGATGTAAATGGAGGCGTTTATCCTTGCTTACATTATCCTCCTGGAGTGTGTTAAGAAAGGGTTCTGTGAGTCAAGGACATTGCCAGCTATGCCGCTTCTGTCCACACTTTAGTTAGTGATTAGACATGACAATTAGAGGTCTGCAGGATACAGTATGTTTCCTGAATAGTTGACGATTTGTATGTTTCTTAAAAGGAAAATTTGCCTCTTGGGTAATTCTGGGCTTTAGCCGAACAGAAAACAACATAGAAATCATTCCTTTATAAGTTTTAGGGTGTGAAGCATATAAATTTAAAGTGTAAGTATAAAGTGGCATTGTAGTTCACCAACTTTTGATATTCTTTGCAAAGGATGAATGTGATTAATACTGTTCCCAGCCTCAAGCCAAGGCCACATCTTTCCATGCCTAACAGGAACGGCCAAAATGCAGGGAGATGCCAAATCATGTCTTAGCTATTGCAGCAGATGGGTATTTGGGTGTATGAACAAGCCTGTGGGCATGGGGATCCCAGACTCATGCACACACCCAAATAATTTCTTGGCTATAAGAGCAATTTATCCACCTACTAAAGAAAGTAAGCAGACCCGGGAGTCTGTGGGACTGTACTGATACCACAACAGTCAGACAGTATACTGTCCTACCGCTGAGATGCTTTCAGACAACAGCTCTTGGATATATACTGAGATCTACCTGGACTTCCCCTCCCACGATGTTACTGATCCCTGTTCAACACATCATTGTTTGCAGTTTCCAAAACCATCATGTGTATTGACTTGTTTGAGGCCAATGCCCCGAGTTAAACAGGGAGGGCTTTATTGATCCCATTTTACAAATGAGGAAACAGGCTCAGCGTGGTTGAGTTGCTGGATATGCCTAATCATTTCCAGCTAGGATTTGGACCCAGCTGTTCTGGTCCTAATTCCTAATCTAGGATTGGGAAACCCTGACATGTCTGCATTTTAAAAGTGCCTCATTTAGATGACATCTTTCTGATCCCCACCCTTAGGCTGGTAATGTTTTACTTCCCCTGAATTTTGAGAGTGGTCTTTTTTTTTTTGTCATCTTCTCCTTAACCCACACTTTTAATTTCCTGTGTTTCTTTTCTTGGTCTCAGTGAAATTATTGCCGGTGGACTGTGACAGCAAAACAGATGAGGTGAGTTTGAATTTCTTTAGCTTTTGTGATTCCTCTCAAGGATGTGAGCCTCCGTCAGGAGGTAAACTTCCCCAGAAAAAAGATCATAATAGGATCATTTTCAGGAGTGCTTCCTGTAATGCACCAGAATCACATCGTGTCCTGTGATGTTTGTGTCAGACTCAATTGTGGCAGCAAAAGAAGTACTTGAAACAGAGAGAATTGAGCTCCCGGGATCCAACCCTGGGATTGTTATGGAAGCTCTCCCACCCATCACAGCACTGGGGACTTGGATCTTCTGCCTAAGTCAATCTGGGGGGATGCGGTAGGTTGTGGTTGAAGGACCCCTCAAGCTCCCTGGCTTCCAGAGGAAGGGCTGGCGGTTTTTAAGCGTCGGGAGGCTGGGTTCTCAGGTCCACCTTTCCCTCTGGTAGTACATTTGTGGCTCTGACGATGCTGTTCGGATTTGAAACATCACGGGGGGCTGGTTTTAAACATACCTAAAGTGGAATTAGCCCCGTTAGTCTATAGATTTGTTTTATGAAGCTTTAATGTTCCCTACAAATAATATTTGGGGAATGCAAGCAGCCCTATCTGTCTGTGAGTCATGCAGGCAGCATCAGCAGGGAGCTGGGATGCTGGCACAGGTGACAGTCGGGGGAAGATAGGAGGCAGTAAATTTTCAGGTCATAAATCCTACAAGGAGGAGCCTTTTGCTGCCAGAGGGCATGACTTAGTAGTCTAATTATTAAGTGTGCAATGCCAGGCCTCCCCCGAGACCTCAGTCTCCATCTCTGGCAGCCCGGGGGCTGGGAAAGAAACAACCCATGGCCACACGTTCATTCTCTCACCCGTGTTAACGAAGGGGTGTCCCGATAATAGGTTTTATTGCTTCTTTTGGCTTCTGCGGTATCCTATTGGGGGCCGTCTCATTGCATTCATTTACTGCAGTCATCCACCAAGTATCGTTGCTTCTCAGTTGTTTTTGTGAAAACAGATTCATAAGAAGTTTAACCTGCCTTCTGTCGCGAAAACCACAGTGGGTGATTAGAGGCAGTGGCCCAGACAAAGAGGGAGTGGCCAGAACTTTGAACCCTGAAAGCAAAAACAGGAAACAAGGAACTTTTCTATAAGGCCTCTCTGGTTGCTATTGCTTGGTTCTTCTTCGTCCCACTCGAGTGAGCCCAGGCAGGCACAGTCCAGGTACCTGCGAAAGATGCGCTCAGCAAGCACACTGGATGCTTGCCACATCAGAGCATCGAAAGACAGGGTCTGGGCATCATCTCAGGCTCCAGTGAGCTGAGGTTGCATGGGGTGCTGCTGGCCTTTGTGAAGGGTGGACACAGGAACAGCAAGTTGGCAGATGCTTCTTGGCTTTGGTGAGGCTCATACCGAAAGTCTTGTTCTTTGCGCGGCTCAGGCTCACCCAGAACCCAGATGGGCATTTGAGTTTTAGATATACGTGTTCTTTCCCTTCTCAGCCAACTACGACACTTAGCGTTTTTCTTTCTGCCTTTGTGCTGCGGAAAGCGTGTGGACAGGCTGGGAGTGGGTGTGCTGTCTCAATCAGGCCGTCTCGTTGTCTGGTGCCTTCTGTCCTCCTGTTCCCTTTAGGTGGTATCAGCCCCGCTTTGCCTAAATGTCGGTGAGTTTGGAACAGAGTTAATTGTTACTGCTTTTTTTTTCTGGTTGTGACAGTAAGGTTTAGTATAGAAAATGTGACAAAAATCACCCATGATTCTGCCACCAAGGGGTACTCTCCATTCACATGTTGGGGGGCATTTCCTTCCCATCTCGTCTGCGTACCTGTGTTTATAGAATTGGGATCTCCGTGTATATTCAGTTACATTTCTTATCGTCAACATTTGCCATCTCATTAGTCTTTAAAAGGTAGTTTGGATACCTAATTCTGCTTACAGACCTGTGAGTTGTCTCTGAACATTTATGATCCTGTGGGTAAATCTTGGTTGTGTCATTTTGTACCTCGTAAAGGCTTTCGGGTCTTTAGGCAACACGAGGGGACGTTTCTTGGCCTCCGAGACTGTGAGAAACCAAGTCCATCCCGTTACAGGTGAGGGCAACGAGTGAGCCTGAGAAGGGAAGTGACTGTGGTCCCTTCTGCAGTTTGGAGCCAGAGCCTAGGCCCTAGGCGTCGGTCCACACCCTGCCCGGTCACAACGCAGAGGAGGTCTGAAGGGGGGCTCCAACACCTGTTAGCTGTGGCATCTTGGTGGCCTACCTAAGGTCTCCGCCTCGGGCTCCTCGTCTGAGAAACTGGTGTGCGGTCAGGACTGTGGTGGCGCTTCAGTGCGTGCCCACGTGTAAACGACTCAGCACAGCACATGGCTTGCCGTTCACTCTCCGGGAAGAGCAGCCTTTGTTTCAAATCTCCTAAATCTAGCGAGTCTAGCAAACTGGCGTCAGTTCTGTTACAGGTGCAGGAGATCTAGGTAGGCCTGTATTCCTAGTCCTATTTTCTCCTACACATGACTTCTTTCCCCCTCTAGTTGCAAGGTTTCTAGAAATTTCCCATTTCCAGTCCAGAAGCCAGTCCGAGATGAAGCATTTGCTGCAGCTAATCCACAGAACAGACAATTTATAGGCAGCATGCAGACAGCGGACTTTCCAAAAACAGACGGGAGTGGCCCGAGGGGAGAAGCGACTGCAGTCGTGTGGCATTTGCTTGGCCCGCCAAGGAGGCCGGGCTCCCGCGTTTCCCCACAGCCCCATCGCCTCTGCTCCGCAGCCCCACTTAATGGCCTTTATTCCAGCGAGAACCATGGGACAGAGGCCGGGAGCCTCCAAGATGCAGACCCTTAGTTACCGTGTCTGCTTTCAGCTCTGCCTCTGCTTTTACGGTGTTCCTCTTCGGTCAGTTAACCCGATATTTATCGACCCTGTCCTGGGCCCACCGCGTTGCAGAATTTGTTTTTTTGTTTTTTGTTTTTTAAAGTATGAGGTGTTTCTTGCTGCTTAGTACTTGACAGTGTAACCGAGGAGGTAAAACCAGACAGACAGAGCCCCCTTTCCCCCCACCCCTCCTTGCTGACTGCTTGTCCTGTGCCCTTTCAGTTCTGTCAGGCCAAGCAGAAGGCGGCCTTGCTGGAGCTGCTGCATGAACTGTACAACTTCCTGGCCATCCAAGCCGGTGAGTGGGTATCTTGAGGCCTGAGATTCCTCATGAGGGTGTGGGCTATTACCCCGATCAGCCAGGCTGGGGCTGGCTGGCTGGCCGGCAGGTGGCTGAGATGCTCTGTGGAGATCTTCCAGAAGATATACTCAGAAACCAAGTCTTGCCTTCCCTGCTTCCCCACTCAGACACATCTCTTTTAAGCCTACATTTCGTTCTTATATCCCCTTTAAGGGTCCCAGGGGTCCTGGCACATGCACAGGCCTTTCTGCCTTCCCTAGATGCCCACCACCTGATGTTTTGGGGGTTCATGTTGATTGGAAGGGGCCAGGCCCCAGGTCTTCTCAGAGTCTGGGTCTTCTGACCTAGAGGGCCTCCCTATATCAGATGGTCGGCCAGGCCAGGAGGAGAGGCATAGGCAGGTGGCAGGGGTGTGCCTGGGGGGGCCAGTCACACTCGGGCCCATCCAGCTTGCCAGGGCCCTGGTGTGACAGCTGGTCCTGATCTCCCCATCTGGCCTCAGGACTTCAGAGAAGTCCCGTACTCTCTCAGGAACTCCCCATCTTACCAGGCAATCTTGGGTTTTTTTTTTTTTTTTTTTTTTACAAAATGAAAATTAAGTGCTCTACTCTAGAGGAGGGTACTTCTAGCACCCCCAGGATGCCCCTAAAAAGCCATCCATCCAGAAGGTCCCCCTACTGCTTTATTTAGAAAATTATTCTTTGAGGCCAGAGATACCACCTCCCCACACCTCTCAGAATCACTTGCTAAAGGTATCGGTGAATGACCAGGGCTTGAGTACCAGGCTAAATATATTTGGCACCAAAATCAGACAGAGCTATTCAGTCTTATGAGATGTTCAGGAGGCACCTCTTACCTGTGGGGCCAACCCTTGTGGAAGGTTGTTGCTAGGAAATCAAGGCCAGATGGGCCTGTAGTGGGCCCTCAGCCCTCGGGGCCAGTCTTGTGGTCCCAGCTCTGCCACCACCTCCCTCCTGAACGGTGGGAGACTGGAGGTGGTCATGGAGGCATCTGTGAGCAGCTCAGAGGAGCAGAGCAGGAGGAATGGGAGCTCACGGCATCGCAGGCCTCAGGGGCCTTTCTCCATGGCTGAGGTGCTTAGACTATAAATTTTGGCCTGTGAGGGTGTTCCAGACCTTAATGACTCAGCTGTGGCCCAGGAACCAGCAGCATCAGGATCACCCAGGAGCTTGTTGGAAATGCAGACTCTGAGGTCCCATCCCGAACCTATGAATTAAAGTCTGCATTTTCAGAAGCCCCCCGGGGCATAAAGTAGAGAAGCTCTCCTCTTAAACTGTGGATGCTGGTAGACATTTTTCCTCCACCCCGCCCTTCATATGTGGTCCTGGCTTATGCCATCCAGGGCTTTGCTGCCTCCTGTCCTCTGACAAGCCTGGCAGCGGCGACCCTGAGGGTCTCGCCGCAGGGGAATGAGGGCTCTACTAGGCCATACTCCCCTCCCACCCCCGCCCTGCCTTGGAGGTCACCTATGGGCAGGGAATTGTGGTGGCCTTTGCAGCCCACGGGCTGCTTAATGGTCTAGTAGAAGAGACAAACCACCTACCTCCCTGACCACTGGCTGATACACAGTGTGACTGGATGAGAACCGAGAGGCCGGAAGTTCCAGGAGGCACGTTGCCTTTTAGCTGGAGCAGTCGGGAAAGTGTCACAGGGGAGGCGGTGTCTGCCGGGCGCTGAAGCCCAGCAAGGATTGGTTCTGCATATGTGCGGGGGAAGACAAGGCCAAAGGGGAAATGACAGGGTCAGGGCTGGAAGCGGCTGGCCACGTGAGGGAAGAAAAAATGGAAGGAATGGAGTTTGGAAAGGTCGGCCGGGCTCTACCATGGGTGGCCGTAGAGGCCAGGCCCTTGGGGCTTCATCCTGCAGGCACTGAGCACCGGGGAGGCTTCTGAGCAGGGGAGTGATGTGCTGAGAGCCAGCAGCCAGGAATGCAAATGTGACAGCAGCTTGAGTGTAGTAGTGTCACGTAAGCAAAATCGTTTTAAAGTTTGGTTGCTCAAACGTGGAAGAGAAAGGGGAGAGGAGGCAACCAATCAGGAGGCCGTGGCGGTGGTCCAGGCGGGGTGATCTGGGGTGGGGCAGACCATGGCAGCCACCTTGGTCTCAGGGGTCCCATAAGGTCAAGATCAACTTGGCATAGGAGGGATAAGCTTTAGTTCGTTCTCAAGCTTTTTAATGTTCATTCCCAGCCACTCAGTCCCCAGCACACAGACGCACAGACTAGCCATCCGTAGCCCCTAAGCTGTGCCAGGTTAAGAGCAGTCAGGCTGTGTGTGGGTTCAGGTTCTTGTACCTGCCGACCCTGTGCTGTCCCTGCTCTCAAGGAGTCTAGTGACCCATGGGAAACAGCACGTTGTGGGTGGACCATAGCAGGCTTTTGAGAACCAACGGCTGTGGTGGGCCCCCAAGTCCAGAGCAATTTGGTCCAACAAGATTCTCCCACGGGCTGGGGATTTTTCAGAGGACGTGGCCCCGGGCAGGCCTAAGGGGAGGCTCCCAGCTCCATCCTGGGTGGGAGCTGTTCACCCAGGGTGCTTGGAAGGGAGTGGCCCCTTGGAGCACCATGCAGAGGCCCCACTACCCAGCTCAGAGATGCCCTCTTTCTCTTTGGGCCATTTTGGACACCCCTCCCCAGAACCCCTTGAAACGGTGGGCCTGGAGTTCAGGTCACCTGCCTATGTCACGGTCAGAATCCCTGCAGTGCCTCCGGCCTCCCTGCCTTTCTTTTTTCCCAGGTTGTGTTTATTTATAGTGCCATTCTGGTACCTTCCAAAGCTATCTGTCTGATCCTTTTAGGGATCAATTGCAAACAGACCTTAGGATTGGGCAGCTTTTTAGTCATTTAATGCAAATCACCGCACTGCTTTGCAGGTCAGGTTTTAATGATCTGGAATCGATCCAAGCTAAGTGGCTTTTGATCTTGCTGCAGAGTGAAGATGCCCCACAGAAGCCAGAGCCACAGGGCCACATGCTCCCTATCAGAGCTGATGGCTTGATTCTTGCTGCATTTTTTTTAGTCCGTTTCAGAGTCATTTTTTTTCCCCCACCTCTTCTTTGTGTTTGAATGTGTGTTTTTTTCCTCCTAGGTAATTTTGAATGTGGAAATCCAGAGAAGCTGAAAAGCAAATGCATTCCTGTAATGGAGGCCCAGGAATACCTAGCAGTAAGTAAGGCTGCAGCGCTTACCCATTCCCGAGAGGTGCTGGCGCTTTTGTAGTGATCTTTCAAGCCCTGCTTTTTTTTTTTTTTCCCTTTTTGTTTTGTGTTTGCTTTTTGGCTTTTTTGTTTTCCTTTTTTTTTTTTTTTTTAACTTAGTTGAGTGCTAGGCTGCTGCAAGTTTAGGCAGCAGTAGGGGTGACCGGTCCAAGGTGAGCTATGAGCCAGAGCCCAGCCTGCTGGCATGTGGGTGGGGGGCTGGCTCCTGAGCCGCCAGTGCGGCCACTGCAGGCCACCTCTTCTTTAAGTGGCCCTGTTACTCGCTCCCCCTTGCTCTCCTTCCCAGCAGCTTTGTGGATCTACATTTCACCTGTCCGTTCTCTCCTTTTCGTTCGCTGTGCAGATTGCTCAGGGTCTGCTTGACTGTGTGCCTGGCCCCAGTTTGATAGAATGGCGGAACTTTGGAGCTGACAGAAACCTTAGGGGTCTCCTAGGTCATTGCCACTTCCCAGACAAGGAAGCTGAGACTCAGAGAGGGACAGGGACTTGCCCAAGGCCACACATCTGGGACTGGCCACTGGGCTCCCATCCCCACACTGTTTTTCATTTTCCCCAAGATGAGCTGCCAGCTCTCTGGCCTGACACTTTGGTCCTCGAGGAGATGATAATTCCTTTGGCTACCTCAGACCTGCGTCGTTTCCTCGTGCGTGCTTCCACATCAACTCCTCCGGGCAGAGCTCCTTCTTGACTCCCAGCAGCCCAGATTTCCTGCCTGCCACTTTGCTGTGCATGTAGTGGAATAGGGCTTTGGGGCCCACGGAGGGCACGGGAGAGGGCTTCCTTAATCCAGCAGGAGAATAACGTTCCCGCTGCTCGGCCCAGACGCAGAACTCATCTCCCGCCCCCTCCCACAGAACGTGACCAGCAGCTCCTCTGCCAAGTTTGAAGCTGCGCTGACCTGGATACTGAGCAGTAACAAGGACGTGGGCATCTGGTGAGTGCGGGCGAGACATCACAGGGTGGCGGCCCCGCCACAAGCACCCGTGGCCGTGGTCCTCACCCATCAGCTGACTGCCGTGTGCTCACAGAGGTGTCTCGGGTCTGAAGTTAGAGGTAGGTCTCCCAGCTGAGTCCTTGTGGGCTAAGCCTGAAGCCAGGCAACGGAAGGAAGAAGCGTTTGGGGTGCAGATAAGACACAAAATCCGGGTGGCGGGACGTTAGCCTAGTGTTCCAGCTAAACCTGTTTCAGGTGACTCGCTTTGAATTCACTGGTCCCACGTGGGTTGCTGGAGAAGGCATTTTTCTGCACTTCCTCTCCCCGGGTGCTAGTTTTCATTCCTAGACAAATGTTTCTGTATGTCGGTTTCACTCTGTGTGGAAATGGCTAAAGGAAATACTGGATTTTATTCTGACTGGGCAGTTCTGCCTCAGTTCTGTCTCTGGGGAGCACTGTTCGCAGAGATGGTGAGCCCTCTCGCCCTCCTGAAAAGCCCCATCTGGCTGCTCAGCTGGCGGGGGCAGGGCACACCAGTGATGCCCCCCCCCCCCCCCCCCCCCCACCAGAGTTCATCATCCTGGCACTGCCTCTCGTTTCTCAGGGTTTGTCGGGGTCTCTGCTCAGGCCATAGCTCCTGATATTCAGACACCCTCCAGGGTTTTGTTCCCTTCCTCTCTAATCCACCCAGACTACTAATTCCATCAGCAGTGCCTCTACCGGAAGCCCCTCGGGCAGCTCAACCCAAAGCTTGATAACTGGATGCGTGGCACGATTAAAATTCGTTGGCTTAAAAAAGAATAAAGCTTCCCTGAGTGGCTGAGCGATTTTCCTGTGTGTTAGGAAAGGCGAAGGAGAATATGGATTTTATCCTCCACGGCACTCACCGAAGCTGCTAGCACAGAAGAATGATGACGCTCGCCCTTCCACTCTGGGGAAGGTAGTCAGGAGGGGGGCCGGGCCCAGCTCACACGACCAGTGTTCAAAGTGGGTCGTTAGAAGTCGGGACGCTACAGATACTGGGCATTGCACTGTGCGGTCCAGAGCACGAGACTGTCACCCAGCTGGAAGAACGTGTAGGTGTGGGCATCCATCCCTGTGTGTCCTGACACCTCCTCTCAGTGGCCAGGGTGGAGGCGCTGGGGCTGGGGCCTGGCCTCGGGGAGCCCGGTGGTCGTCATTCCCTGAGCCTCACGGCACCCCGATCTTTACCCTTAAACAGCTTATATGCCTCTTTGTCACCATCACTGAGGAAAAGCACACCCTCCCAGACTCTTTCAGTTCCTGCCATGCAGTGCAAAGCCAGCAATTCAGTAAACATTTCCATTTCTCTATGCTGGGAGGTGGGAATCCAATTTACAGTTTAATCTTCCACACGCTGAGAGGGGCTGTCAAAAGACCCGACAGAGGGGGACGTCACTTTAGCAGTAGGGGTTCAAGCCTGCTGCCGTCTTTAAAGCTTTATTCTTCCTAAGTAGCCAACGTGGGAAATTTCGGGAAAGCATGCAACCAGGATACCGAGTCTATTTCATAAGCAAGTAGAGGCCTCAAAGCCCATCCTTGAGTGGGGCCGATCCCACGGCTCCTGGGAGCTTTTGAATGTGTCTGCAGCCCTGTGTCCTGTTTCAGGTTGAAAGGGGAAGACCCATCAGAATTGGTGACGACCGTGGACAAGGTGGTGTGCCTGGAATCCGCCCGCCCGCGCATGGGTGTCGGCTGCCGCCTGAGCCGCGCCCTGTTCACTGCCATCACCAACTTGCTCATCTTCTTCTGGTGTAAGTCCTTGGCTGCCCTTCTCCCCCCCTGCCTGTGCCGCGGGGACTGCTCCCAGAACACCTCCCAGGAGCCCAGCTCAGTGACACTCCTAGGCATGAGTGATGAGTTCTGGAAGCCCAGGCCCAGAGAGTTCATTTCTGTCTAGTGAACCTGAGGTCTGTCTAATAAAACAGAGGAGATGAACAAGTCAGCCTCTGCCCTGGTTCATCTTACCTTTAGAGACTGGTGGCGGGAGCGTGAGGATAACTAAAAACATCCTTGCTCAGGGTCGGGGACCGTCAGTGTCCCTGAAAGGGAGATGGGCGCTGGCTGGAGCCCAGCATCGTCGCCCTGGGGGCCCCAGAGTGCAGGCCTCTCTGAGGAGGAGGCGCACCAGGAGCTTGGCCTAGTTTTACTCCCTCTCCTTGGGAGCTCTAGGTACCTGATGAAAGCAGGAAGGACCCTTTCAGCGCTGAGCTGAAAAGCAGAGCGCGAGTCTTGTCTCCCGACATCAGGGGCCGCCTTTGAGCAGAGACCTTGGGGTGTCTCTGAAGGCAAAAGGCCGAGTCCTAGAAACTGCCGGCTCTGCAGACATGGCAGAGTTACAAATCACAGGCCATCTGGGCGTGCACACAGCTCCCTCACCCACACCATCAGGCACAGACATCATTATCGGCAGCAGCATCCCGGAATACAAAGGGCCCTGCATGTATATATGTATGAAACGCCGTGTTCTGGTTCACAAGGGAGGAGATGAAAGTCCCGGAATGCAGTTGGGAGGAGCTGCAATCTGGACGGCTGGGGATACCTCTGTGGTGACAGCCGGCAGGAGGAAGATGATCATTTAATGGCCTGCCTTCCCTTTGCATTTCCACCTCCTTTGTCCCCTCCCGCATGCTAGCCGGGGCCTGACACATAGTAGGTGCTCACAACACTTGTACGGCTCACCCATAGCCTCCAGCACGGCCACCGACCCAGACTGACACGCAGTGTGCCTCTGAGTGGCCGCAGGTGACGTGAGGATTAACCGGGCCCTTGTTCCCTCACAGGCTTGGCCTTTCTGTGGGGCCTCCTGATCCTCCTGAAGTATCGGTGGCGGAAGTTGGAAGAAGAGGAGCAAGCCATGTATGAGATGGTGAAGAAGATTATAGGTGTGTGGCCCCTGGGGCGAGGACTGCGGGCACCCGCCGGAAGGTCCTTGTCCTAAACCGTGCCCCCTGCCCTACCCTGCAGACGTGGTCCAGGACCATTACGTGGACTGGGAGCAGGACATGGAGCGCTACCCGTACGTGGGCATCCTGCACGTGCGCGACACCCTGATCCCTCCGCAGAGCCGGTGAGTCCTGGTCCGGCCCTGCCGAGTGCCACGGAAGGAGCCCCGAGCATCAGTTATGGGGCGGGGGGAGGGGGAGCTCAGCCCCGAGGATCCCAGGGGAGGGGGCCACCATGCACGCCTCCTGCCACTCCTCCGGCGCTCGGCTCTTCGTGGCAGAACGCAGACCAGAGGTTTAGAAACATGGTCCCACTCCTCTGTTAGCGTTGGTTGGCTCAAGCCGGGAAGGATCTGATAGGTTTCCATTAGTGGAAGTCCAGAGTCATGTGCGCTCCAGACACAGAATAGTCGGGTCCCTGGTCCCTTTTTTCTGCGATCCTTGGGGTCCTGGCTTCTGTGGATGTCGTGCGCTGGCGGGAGTTCCTCGCGGTCACAGGATGGTGGCCAGCAGCAGCTGGACCAGCATCTGCCTTGTCACAGCCAGCAGGGGAGAGAGGGGCCTCCCGTTGCTCTCACAAGCAGGAGAAAACATTCCCAGAAGCTGCCAGTGACACACTCACTGAGGCCCTGCTGGCCAGACTCGGTTACTTGTCTGTTCTTTAGAATTTTTGAGAGAGAAACAAAGTGTGATTGGAGGAGGGGCAGAGAGAGGGAGACACAGAATCCAAAGCAGGCTGCAGGTTCTGAGCTGTCAGCACAGAGCCCAACGCGGGGCTTAAACCCACAAACTGTGAGATGGTGACCTGAGCCGAAGCTGGACACTTAACCGACTGAGCCACCCACGTGCCCCATATTCTTGAATCAGTCACTAGTAAGGAGGAGATTGTTTTTCAAACATTTTTAACCACGGCCCATGACATGTTATCTAAAATACGGTTCACTTCCCACACACGCATGCGCACGCACACAAGTGTACCTGCAGTTGAAAGCAGAACTTCACAGCCGTGGATGGGGTCCGTTCCCAGGGGGCACGGCTGCATGGGAAGGGGTAACAGGCCGTTGTCCCGCATGACACCAGGGGACCTTTCACATGGACTGCAAATGCCGGATGTGGGCATCTGCAAAACCGCATGTGGGGTAGCTTTGGAGGACGGGGTCCCAGGGGGCAGCCATCAGGGCCCGCCGAGGTGTCGGCCCAGATTGTGGGGCCCCCCTCAGTAGCTCGCCGCAGTCTCCAGCCGGATGCCATCTCTCCGGAGGGGGACGAACACTCACTGCAAGCCAGCGCTGCTCTGTGCCCTCCACGGGCAAAGCCCACACTCACTGGCTCCTCACTGTGGCCCTGCAAGGTGAGAACAGTGAGTACCCCATCTAACAGATGAGGAAACTGAGGCACAGGGAGGTTAAGGAGCTTGCTCGAGGCCCAGCGCTAGTGGCACGTCTGTGCAACCCAAGAGGAACTGGAAGAGCAAAACATTTAAGGTTTTACTTGTAAATGCTTAGTAACTTTCATCCTTCTTTAGGGACGTGCAGGCAGGAAGCTTAGGGAGAGCAGACTGACCACGGCAGCGTTGGCTCGTGCTTGTTGTTTGGTCCTCAGCAGGAGGCAGCTACGTCGCCCTCCGGCTCCCAAGAGGAGGCCGCTTGGTGTTTTCAGACTCCCACCAAATTCCTGGCCCCACCAGGAGTCGCCACGTGACCATGAGTCACGGCCACTCCGAGCCAGTTTCCTCATCCAAAACAAAGACACCACTGCCGCGCAGAGGGCTGCGCTGAAGCCCTTGTTTACGCAACAAATGTTTATTGAGCACCAACCGCAGGCCACATGCTACTGGGTCCCAGGGAGACGGTGGGGAGAAGAAACCCAAATCCGCACCCCAGCGGAACATTGGTTCTAGGGAGGAAGAGAGGTGACAAGATGCATAAGGAAAATGTGTGCTATTAGGCAGTAGTGACAAGTCCTCAGGAAAGGGGGACGGGGTGTCAGGAAGTAGCCTCACAGCTCATTAAGTCTGTGCCTAGCACGTGAGCACTCACCCAGGAGTGGCCCTTGTTGCTTGGGCTTCAGTTCCATGCAACCCACATGCTCACTGAAGTAAGAGCAAGAGTGCCGTCGCGGCTTGTCTCCGGCCGGGCCACCTGGCCTCAGCTCCCACGCCACAGCAGGGACCACAGGCGGGACTGAGCCCGGTCGGTAAACCCCGGGAGACTCAAGCCATGTTGGCTCCCAGCCTCTCGATTTATCTCCCAGGCCCCCGGTCGGTGCACCTGAGCCCTCATGTCGTGAGGACCTGTCCGCTGCTGTCGGCCCTGCGTGGGCACCGTCGGGTGTGGCCTGCAGAGGAGGGTCTGCCCGTGAGACTGAGGGAGAGCCGTGGGGCCTGGCTGGCGCAGGCCTGCTCGCTGCCTGGGAGGGGGGGCTGGGGCTAGAGCAGCCCAGTGGGCCTGCCCCACGGGACCTGACCTCTGGAGGAGAAAGCCCTGACACCCCAACTCTGACTCCTGACCCACGGGCCACCTTGGGTGCTTCCCTCCTTTGTCCTCCCCCAGGTGGAACCTTCCCGCTCCCTCATGTACACACCCATGTTCACTCTCCACTCGAGGGGTCACAGGGAGGTGGTCTGCGGTGCTGACGAAGGACGGGAACTCATCGAAGAGAGGACGTCAAAGCAATCCTCCCTGACTGCCTTGGAATCTTCCTGTCTAGTCTGGAGGGGGAAGAGACCACAGGGGGCTGTCCAAGGGGATGCAAGGCCCCAGGGACCCAGCAGAGCAGAAGGGGCCCTGGCCGGTAGCTCTGGTTCCAAGAGCAGCTCCAGCTTCTTCGCCTCCCCGGTTGGATGCTTAGCTCATTCGCGTGCTCCAAAGTACTGTGGAGTTTGGACTCGACAGCCCAGTGGCCACTCTTTAATTAGCCCACATGGGGCATTAGAATGCAGCCGGCACCGGTGGTGGGGCCGCCTGGCCCGGGCTGCTGCGGTAACAGGTCCCAGCAAGCGCTGGCTGAGGCCAGCACAACCCCTTCCCTCTTGGACACCTGGGGGTGCCCTGGCCCCCTCTGGCCCCCTTCAGCTCCCTTTAATTGAATGCTTTTGGAGCAGAGAAGGTTGAGGAATTATTTCTCTGTGGCTCAAGAAATTCCTCTCCTCTGCAGGAGCTCTGTTAGTACCTGATGCCTTTTCCTCCCGCAGATAAATTCTGCGCGAGATCCTAGAGTCAGGGCCCAAGTTGGTACAGAGGGTGCGTCCGGACCAGCTCGCTTCTCTGGGCAGTACCCAGTGGAGCTGCGGGGGCGCAGCTTGCCTGCTGAGCCTGGTCCTTGTCGTTGCAGGAGGCGCATGAAGCGGGTCTGGGACCGGGCTGTGGAGTTCCTGGCGTCCAACGAATCCCGGATCCAGACAGAGTCCCACCGTGTGGCTGGAGAGGATATGCTGGTGTGGAGATGGACTAAGCCCTCTTCCTTCTCCGACTCAGAGCGATAAATCCCGGGCGGGGGCCTGTTCCCAGTCGGCCTGTCCCAGGCCAGTCCCCTCCGGGGGCGCGAGAAGGCCACCAGACCTGCCAGTGCTGAATTCACACTTGCCTTGACTTTCACCTTCCTCCAGACTCTGGTTCCAAAGGTCTCTGTAAGACTCTTCAGAGATTAGCTTGTAGGGAAGCGTGGGCTTCCTTGAAGGGCACAGGGGAAAAGCCAGAGGCCTTGCCCTCTGCATTGGTCCAATCCTGTGCCCCGATTGCCGGCAGGAGAGGGGAGAAGGGTTTGTTTTTGATGAACAAAAAAGATGAAAGAGCAGCAGCTGTGAGACCCTGCAGAGCTAGTGTGCGGTTAGGTGGGCTGGAGCTCGTCCACCGCTGGCGAGCACTCAGCAGGGTGGGCATCGTGCAGGTGGGCGGTGGGTCGGGATGGCAGGCTGGGGCGGCAGGGGTCGGGGAGCAGATTGGTCCATGTGCCTTCAGAGGGTGTTACCTGGGAGCTCAAGGGTGAGGGGAGAAAGCCTGTCCTCTAGCTGGGTTGGGCCTCTTTTATCCTGAAGGGGGAAGGTGCTAGCAATTAGAACGAGTACTGTAGAAGGACTATCTAGAAATGCCAGGCCCTGGCACGCAGGACCCTTGGGTCGGGAGTGAGCTGCTGGCGTGGCCGCCTGAGAGCAACCGGGAGCAGACACGGGCCGAAAGCGGCGAGGCGGGTAGAGCTGCCCAGAGGCGGCCTCTTTAGTGGTGCTGCTCACAGAGTCGCAGTTCTAGACCAGACCTGCAGCCAGGGCACTGCATCGGGCCGAGAACGCAGATTGCAGGACCCGGGGAGGGTCTCGCCTCCGGCGTGCGACGGTCACCTTGTCCCGTGGCGGCCACAGCGTCCCCACGCCGGGGCTGCTGAAGCAGAACTTCCGGCACCGACTAGGTTCGCAAGGGCGGCTCGGCTGCCCCCTGCTGGCCACCCCGGGAGCGTGCCGGCGCCGCCGCAGACCTTCGCGGCCCCCCGCCAGCCCATCAGCCCGCGTCGCGGGAGCCTGTCTCCGCAAACACCCGGGCGGGGGGCCTTATTAGTTAAGTGCGAGGAGCCTCTCCAGCAGAGCCTCGTCCCCATATGTTCTCATCTGCGGCCGCGGGAGAGGGGCAAGCAGAGGAGCCGAAACAGCTGCCTCCAGAAGGCACCGACCACCCCCTTTCGGTCTTCCTGGTATTTTTTATTTCCTTAATAAAGCTCCGGTCTCCCTCATTTGAGCAATACTCTCTCATTTCCTCTGATGTCTGGATGATCGGCGGGGCTGGACTCTGAGCGCCAGCCCCGTGGCAAAGAAATGGTCTCTTAATCAAGGCTGCAGCCAGAAGAATAATGCTGCAACAGGCTTCAATATCAGGGTTGAAACTGTTGGATAAATAAACTATTTATTAAAAATGGATGTGTTTCTCGTGCATGGTTCTTCTCCTTCCCCCCCGCCCAAGCAAGTTATAAGGAATGGTAAGTGGTGGGGTTACGAAGCACTGGCTCCCGAGAGGTCAGCTGGAAGAGGAGGCTGGGGTGGGCCGCGCAGGGGCCCTGAGCCTTCTCGGGACAGCTGGCCTTCCTCCCTCCGGGCCCCGGCCTTTTCGTGACCGGGTTCTCCAGCAAACTACACAACCTCTCAGAGCCTTAGTTTCCCCATTTACAACAGGGCATGACTACCACACCCTGCAGGATGAAGTCAAAAGGCACCCACCTGGTCCCAGTGAGTGGGTGGCAAGGGCTGGAGATCGGTAGACCCTCTTTCCTGGGCCCCGTTTCTGCCTCCCCGCAGGGCCCCAGAGGCCCCCAGGGGGAGAAAGGAAGAGCAGAGTGAGGTCGGGTGGGGCTCCTTGGCAGCCGACGGTGTCCTTAAAGGAGGCGGGAGATTGATGTTGGCAACACTCTAGTCTGGAGACTGCGGAGGCCCAAGTGCTGTCTGGGAGGGAGCAGGGCCCGCAGGACTCTGCAGGGCAGGGGCTCACTGTGCTGCCGGCCCTACGGCTCTCCACCAGGGCAGCCCCTACCCCGAGGGCACACCAGAGCTGCGGGCATTGGAGCTGGCACCAAGATCCAGCCCTTCCTCCTCAGCCGGCCCTGCTGCGCCCCCGCGCGGTCCCACCTGCAGGTGGTGGCTGGCCGGTGAGCACCGTCCCGCTCTCCTCCCATCTGCTGGGAATTTGCTGGATAAATTGATAGTCAAAGGACCCAGACAGAAATGAGCCCACCTTTCCCTTTTCTGTTTTTCAGTGAAACATTCTCCCTCTGCTGTGTTTTGTCTTAAGCTGTGAAGGGAGCTAATGCAGGGCTCTATTTCTGTGAGACTGTTTGGAGAGCGGGAGCAAGATCAAAATAAGCCAAATAACAAAAGGCCCCCGCCAGCCGGCCCCTGCCTTTATGGAGCACGGAGCGCCCGAGCGGCACAAAGGCCCGGAGATGCGTCCTCTGCCGCACAGCCTCCGATCCGGCCCTGCAGCCCTCCTCCACTTTGAAGGGCCACGTCTTTCTTTCAAGCAGCTCTCACTGCACAAGGGACAGGGCAGGGTGGTGGGATTTGCCTGAGGAGGGGGTCTGAGGGCATCTTTTTTGGGTGGGAGCCATTACAGAGAAGTTTCCATTGCTCTGCCCACTCCCTTCAAGGCTCCCTGGGCCGCGGACCTGTCTTTCTTCAGTGACAAATAGCCCTCTTGGGCTTGGGTGGCGCCAATAAAGAAGCTTGGGGAGTACGAGAGGGAGAGGCTGTACCCCACAAATCTCGGCCGTGGACGTCCACCCAGGAGCTCCAGGCCATCTTCCGGAGCCTCTGCTCAGGAGAAAGGTAAACACGGCCATTTGTCACTGACTTATCATAAGAACTGCGGTAGCAGCTGTTCCCCTTAATTAATACACCATTGACTTTGAGCCTCACACAAAAAAAATCCCTTTGTTGAGGCAGGTGTGCGGACTTCAAATCCATTATCCTGTCGGCCTCCACCAAAGGGAAGGGGCCGGGCAGTGGTTAGGCAGCAACTGGACGCAACTCTTCCAGCAGCCCTCCTCAGGCAGCCAGGCCAGCTTCTCCACCCCTGTCCCCAGAGAAAGCTCTGGACACAAGGAGAGAATCTGGACAGAGGGGCCCATGGTGCACCAGGGAAAAGAGAGGCAGAGGGGATAAGTGGGGGCAGGGGGGTGGGGGAACGTGCCACCAATGAGCAGTGGGGTGGAGGCAGGCACTCAGCATCTTCAGGACCGGCTCTGTCCTTTGCTGGGACCTTGCACTCATCAGTCACTTTGTCCCTGTAGCGGGGGAAGTTATTAGGAAAAGGCAAAATCAGCCAATACATGACAGCATTATGACAAGCTCATAGGGAGCTTTAGCCCGCCGAATGACCACAACACCCCCACGCTGTGGTTATCCCCTTTATATGGGATGGGGGAAACTGAGGCACAGGTTGGTCAGGCAAGTAGTGGAGCTGCGGTCCGAACACCCAGACAGACCAGCTCCAGAGCCTGTGTTGTCAGCCCTGCTCTCTTCCCTTCTCCGAAGAAAGTAAGGGGGGGCCACTCAAGATTTGTCGGGCTGCCCTGGGTTCACCAGAACAGTAAAGCCGCCTCGTCCCAGGGAAGAGCCAGGACCTCACACAGGCTCTAGGAGGCTCCTGTGACCTGCCATCGTGCTTGCCCCGCCTCTGCTCAGGCCACACGCCTTGCTGCCCCCACCCTGACCAGACCCGCCGCTGCCTCCGAGCCTCTGAGTCCCCACGTGCTCCCCACCCCCTCCTCCAGACCACTGTCCCGTTGGGAGTCATAGCTGCGCCCCACACCCGCACATCTAGGGCCCGCCCACCTTTTTGTCTCTCCTAATGGAGGTGCTTACTCATACACCCACCCCTGCAACTTACCAGCCTGCTACCTGCTTCCCTGAAGTGTCCATATCCCCCTCCCCAGGGGGACCCTGGCCACAGAGCCAATCAGGCTGGACTGTCCCAGCCGGGGCAGGGCTGTCACACAGAGAGGGCTACAGCTCCCTATGAGCGTGTCATAAGCTAACATGCCACAGAGCCCCCAGGACCTTCCAGCCCACCGCACCATGTGACAGAAGGCCCCAGGGTGAAGGTGGTCTAGGGGCCAGGCGCCAAAGCAGACCAGCCCAGGATTTGTGTAAGACGCGGCTGGGCCAGGCCCTGCGTCCTAATTGTGACCTCTCCGCGGCCCTGGCGAGTGAGGAGGGCTTGGAGCAGATTCGGTGAGATTTCTCAAAGGAAGACAGATGTTTCCTCCTGCCAAGAGCCGGGGCCGATGCAGGGCTAAGGCCCCCGTGACCTGGAGGACAAACCCCTCAACGTGGTGGCGTGTGGTGAGACTGCAGGCCACCGTGGAGGGGCCACCTCCCGCAGGCTGTGAGCAGGGACGGTCCGGAGCAGGGACTCGGGAGCAGAGGAACAGAACAAGCTCTGAGAAGAAAGGAGACAAGAGGTATCACTGGTGATTACAGCCCAATTTCTGAGCCGTTTCTGTTTAGTAAGGAGACAGGGGAAAGTACAGTAATTTTCTTCAATGAAAACAGGCAACAGAATTCCCTTTGCCTCCTTCCCCTTGCAATTAAGCCCTTCTCTGCAAATGAAATGATTTGGTTTTCATGGGGACTAATTTAAGCACACTTGGAAGGGCCGCTGAACTTTTTGATTGCAAACACCAGCACGTGCAAAACAGAACCCCCAGCATCGATGCCAGGCTGGTGAGGGGGGCCCTGACACGGAGCCCGGGGCTTCGAAGGGGCGAGGCGGGCTGAGCCCCGGGGTGGGAGTCCAGCTCTGCCCCTAAATCTGTGACGCTCTCCCTTCTCCAGCCTCCATCCCTACATCACAGGTGAGGGAGCAGAACTGGAGCCCGGGGGGGGCAAATGGTCTGACACACCTGGGGACGACAATGAGCTGAGGATGTCACACGCTCTCCGCCACCCCTCCCATCAAGCCCTTTGAATCTGGGCTGGCTCTGTGACTGCTTTGACCAGAGAAA